CCAATATTAATTATATTTTTATCATATTAATCTAAACAGCATTACACTTAGATGTTCTCTATTAAATAACTAGGAATTTTATTTCAATCATGTGATTATTTTTTATTCAAGAATTCTCAAGTTAGATCTAGTCTCTAAAAATAGGCCACATTTTGTAAGCAATATATCATTTCCTTGATAATGTCTCTTCTTTAGCTTAAACATTATAAATAATATTTGTCTTATTTAAGGTGCAGGAGTTGGGAGAAAACATAACAAATGAACTAGAAGAAGGTATGTTGCCAAAATTTATGAATTAAATTGAAATTAATTGTTAATTTCTGAAATAAACTGTAAAGAGCAAGTGGCATCTTTTTCCATTTTTGGTTAATACACACATTAAATATTTTTTGTTACACACATATCTACTGAAAACTGCAAAAACACAAACATTCATCATGAAAAATATAGATATGCTTCATTACTTCATCATGTTTCATAGCTTTAAAAAAATCTCAGGAAATTTCTCTGGCTCTACACTTTCTAAACTTCTGCCATCCCTGTGGGACCATCACACAGCACAGCAAAGCTAATGTCAGCATCCAAAGACCTCGTTAACTTCTCAGGTTTATGGTAGTGATTTAAGGCCCAAAGACCCCAGACTCACCTAGTAACATGTAGTTAAGCAATACAGTTCATAAGTAGTCATTTGACAGGTGACATCTTCAAGTTCTGGTCATTTACTTGTCATCAGTTTTGTTTTTTTGTTCTTGTTTTTTGGATCATCATCTTGTAATTCCAGTGCTTGCATATTACCTTAGCACAGAGCTGTTAAGTGAATGAATGGAGAATGAGAAAAGCAGAAACTGATACTTAACCACAATAATAATTAATTCAGTCTGCAACTATAGGCAAATTATATTTACTAGCAATTCTGTATTGTACTTGTACATACATATTTTTCATCCTTATTAACATTGATAAAGTTCTCAACTCTTATTTACTGACTTAATTTGGTTAATGATGAAATTTTTTAGGCAAAAAATAAAATTCTCTTTTTTTTCCAGCTGCTTCTGAATATGCATCTGGATCCCATATATCTTCTCCTGTAACGTCTTGATGTGTTAATTGTAAATCAAGATCTAGAAAATACGTACAAATTTTACAGAAAAAAAATCTGTGAACTGAAAGATAATAAAGCTATATTACTGGGCTAATTACATGGCATTTTTTAAATTATTGTTTCCTATTAAATACATCACATGGGAGAATCTTTGAAAAAGGTAAAGTATTTTTGAATCATGTATTATATATTTAAAATAAAAATTTATACAGTGTTTTAAATGATGTTTCTTGGCCTCTTTGACTTTTATTCATAAGTGAATTTTAGAATTGAAACCAATATTGCTGATTGTTACATACGCAAAG